TTTGCTGGTTTATGCTGGTCCTTTTGCTGGTTTATGCTGGTCATTTGCTGGTTTAAGCTGGTCATTTGCTGGTTTATGCTGGTCCTTTTGCTGGTTTATGCTGGTCCTTTTGCTGGTTTATGCTGGTCCTTTGCCAGCACATGACCAGCAAAAGGACCAGCATAAACCAGCAAATGACCAGCTTAAACCAGCAAAGGACCAGTTTAAACCAGCAAAGGACCAGCATAAACCAGCAAAGGACCAGCTTAAACCAGCATCCCAGCGTCAAAACATACCTAACCAGCATATGCTGGTTTTTTCAACAGGGTTATCTAATCCACTTGCGCTCCAGTGACGGTTATGTTGATAGGGGTGAGGTTAGGGGGGTTGACCTTTTTTGTACCATTTCATATGGAGTCACAACCATGCAAAATAGTATTCCTGTGAGATAATAACATGTTTTCCTGTGAGATCAGGTTGATTACGAGATTCAGACTTCAAAAGCAATTCAAAAGTGTTCTCGCCCTACGTGGTTTTGTATTGTGGTTTTGTTTATTGTTTACTCAAATTACACATATTCTTTGTGTGTTATAGTGTTACCACAGAAACACATAATTATGGGTCAGAATGTCCCAGCAGTTGTGACATGGCTTGAATGCAGCTGATAAGTGCTGTGTCTAGTGATGTGTCTTACCTGTCTGGTGCTCCATGTTGCTTGAGATTCCTCTTAAAAAACAAAGGTTCCAATTAGAATGAAAACGGGGTTTTGTGTTCTGATGCCACACTCTCGGAAATACAAAAGCTGTCTATGGGGCAGTACCTTTTCAAAAGCAGACCTTTTGAACAGAAGCCACTTCAAAGACCTTTTTTTTTTCTTTAAAGAAGTTAATACATTGATCTGAAGAGCCTCTAATGAAACTTTGCATCTCCAGAAAGTAAACATACAGCCAAAATGGACCTTTATTTTGATATTATGTGACTCTGAATCTTTATTGTTGGTATTGTTTTGCGGTTATTGTCAGGAGGGATAGCGCCTCTCCTTTTACTCCGGAGTATGTTGTGACATTAATCCATTGGGTCTTTAAGATCTCCCCATTCACAATGTAGCGCTGGTAATGTCTGTGGGCTGGTCATTGGGCACATTTATAGCGCAGGTGTGTGTTGTTCAGTATCTGAGCTGTACAGATGTAGTTGATTGATGTCTTGAGCGTGTCGTCTTGCTGAGACACTTTGTCAGATCCACCGCTCAGCTGTTGATACACCTCTCTGTTAAAGTTTAGAGTCGACAGGCGCCTGACAATAGATGTATCAAATCACACACACACAAACACACACACAGACACACACACACACACACGTCTGGTCAGCTATCCTTGTGGGGACTCTCCATAGGCGTAATGGTTTTTTTACTGTACAGACCATATATTCTATTGCCCTACACCAACCCTACACCTAAACCTACCCCTCACAGGAAACTTTGTGCATTTTTAGATTTTCAAAAAACTTCATTCTGTATGATTTATAAGCTTTTGTACCCGTGGGGACCACAATTTAGGTCCCCACCGTGACACGAGTCCCCATGAGTCTGTGTGTATTCAGGTTTAAGTCCCCACCAGAATAGAAAAACAGGTACACACACACACACACACACATGTCTGGTAAGCTATCCTTGTGGGGACTCTCCATAGCCGTAATGGTTTTTATACTGTACAGACCGTATATTCTATTGCCCTACACCAACCCTACCCCTAAACCTACCCCTCACAGGAAACTTTCTGCATTTTTAGATTTTCAAAAAACTTCATTCTGTATGATTTATAAGCTTTTGTAACCGTGGGGACCACAATTTGAGTCCCCATGAGTCTGTGTGTAGTCAAGTTTAAGTCCCCACCAGGATATATAAACCAGCACACACACACACACACACACACACACAGTCATAAGGCTGATTGCTTCATATCCTCATCACATGCTTCAGGTCCCAAAGGCCTTGAGCTGCTGACTGAATGTGTTTTCTAACTCGTGAAATAATTGCCTGAACGAGGACCCCTGTAAAACCGAGTGAGGGGCTTTAACAAGTTATTTTACAGTTGGAGCGATTCAGCGTAAATGATTTGCTTTTCCTAACATTCATGCTGAAATAATCACAATAAAACTACATGCTGCAGGTGTCGTAATTTAAAAAATTGAACACATAGGTGGTCATTTAAATTAGAAAAAAATAATTAAATAAAAAAATAATACTAAAAATACTTGGATAGACCAAGAGGCAGCCCAAAAATGAATGATTACAGGTTTGACCTGAAGTCCCATGACGTCACGCACTGCTCAGACTGACAGAATGTGTGATCTTCTCTGGGTTTTAGGACAGCACTTAAGGCATTAATTAACCAAAGTTTATATCCTCTTAAAAATAAATGAATTATATAACACCGTCAACTCTGTGTGACAGCAGCTGCGGTCAGCGAGTCTTCAAAATAAATCTCCCCGGAGGAGCATGCGTCTGTCAGCAGTAGGCAGCCTTGGTGACCAAAAGACACAAAAACATAAAAAAATATTACTGACTTAAAATATTTAAATGGTATATTGTATATGTTGGACAGAAAAGGTTGACCTTCAGTATGTAGATTAAAAATCCAACAACCAGTCACCACCAATAAAAAGCCTGGACTTTCTGGTGAACTTCACTCATCTCTGAAGAAAGTGTTCTGAAGCAACAATTAGTCAGTCATGCACGGAGTGTTTGCATGAGCAGTAGGATACAGTGCATAAACAAATGAAGAAAGGCTTAGAGTGCAAAAAGGTATAGAAAAGTTCACCAGCTCACATCTGTGTTCACACGTGACATTCAGTCCACAAACTCTCATTAAGTCCAGTAGGTGGAGCTATAGGCCGAGCTCAAGTAAATCAAGAATACAATACTTCAGAACCTGCAACCCTGCAGGCAGAAATTCTGCACGTAAAAATATGCCTTTGCTCTTGAACATAATGTGCAAACAGTAAAATCCAAAACAGGTGGTTATGTTATATTCCTCCTTTAAAAAGAAGAGTGTTCACTACCGTGTACAGTGGCTGTTATTAAATTAGTGCTGCATGAATGTTTATACACAAGAATTAAATGAATCCATATAGGCCCACCGTATTTTGAGAAAGAAATCTCTGTAAAAGCATCTCTGCAGGCTATATGATTATGTAACTACAAGCTTTTTTTTTGTGAACAATTGCATAATGCCAACATAATTTCAGCAACATGTGATTTGGAATCACTAAACTAAAATGTTTGTAGTTATCTCAGAGGCCCGCATATGGCAATAGTTAAACTATAAGGGAGGTATTTCTCTTATTTTGCGAATTTATAACGCGTCTGATGGTTTGTAGCCTATAACAAATGAGTTTTCAACATTTCCCAAAAGAATTCTTTACTAACATTTACTGCAACACAAATAATTTCCTCATGAGGAAAAACTACAACCAACCAACCAAACAAATAAGTAAATAAATCTATGTAGGATCATATTGCATATGGATTACTGACAACAGTGATTTACCTCACATCGTTTAATTTTTTTTAAAAACGGCCGCAGTGTTGCATTTTTAAAACATCCGGTAGATAGCGCGCTTATCCACGAAAAGCTTCATGCACCATGAATCATTGACTGTTTATTTACGACACAACAATGCATCAGCTGTCAGTAATCCATTTTTTTAATGTATTCATCCATTTCCCTTTTCATAGTAGACAATCGTTTCCAATTCCAACTTTACTCTTAATCCAATATAATTTTAAATAATCTCAATATTAGGCTATATTTCAAGGTGTCATACTCGGATAAAACTGTTGTGTGGATTCACTGACAAACAAAATTACGCCAAAAAAATCTATGAATATGTCTATGAATCAAAATGAATTGATTTCAGTGTTGTATATGAACGTTCTGTGCAGCGCGGATCCCGAAAACGAGCGTCACTGACCCCCAAATCTGCCATCTTTCAACAATGTTTTAAATTATAGTTAGTCTTGTTTCCAGCCTTTGAGCTGGACCACACAATCTCAAGACGTCTTCCCACAGCTCATTAGCACAGTGAATGATAAGCATTCAGGGCTAGTGATCACAATGTCGCTTGACCCGGCAGACCTCCATCTCCCCGATCAAAGGGCCACTGTGTCCGGCGGCTGAACTGAACACCCCGCGTGTGCTCGAAATCGCTGCCTATTCATTCCACACGTAGCGCCCTGTGTAGCGTTCACGGCGGAGGTCACCGGGCGGCCGCTGGAGCTGAGCGTTGACCTTGCCCTGGGAAATGACTGCGGAGGTTCCGCGCTGAACGGGGGGAAGCCCGACCGACATAAAGGCCCGGCCCACGCGGACATACGCAAGTGGAAACCAGAAGGAAACGGAGAATTGCAGACAGGGAACCTAAGAGTCCATTTAAGTAGCGTTTACCACCCTCTCTCACGAGAGCAGAGAGTCGGGAGCTTGAATCGGTTTGGGCCAGAATCTCTCTCCCAGGAATTGAGGAAAAGCACAACCCCGCGCACCTGTTTCCTCAGACAGCGCATGGAGGAAACTGGACGTAAATCACACCCAACAAAAATAGAATCAGGGCTGTTATTCAGACGGATCTCGGAGGCTTTGGATTGGACTTTTCCCATGCCTGGCACACATTTATATTTGCATTCTTACAATATATATACGTTATGGCTATGCTTTTTAAAAAAAGTAAAAAGCCTATGGGGATGTGGAGGGGCGAGGATTGTTGCCACACTTGAGTATTTCAGACTAGATTAATTTTTTTAAACTTGAATTTTTAAATTTAATTTCTTTATAGTCACCTATTTAAGCAAACAATAAAACTATTAAATTACTAAATACTAAAAAAGGACTAAATTCAACGTTTATTACAAAGGTAGTCAGGCATAGTTATGACACTATGGGGTAAGTTGTCACAGTGGAACCTATTGTTAATGTATAAAATATATTATATTGTAATCAATAAGCAATTAGCAATATATGTGGATTACGTAATCAGATTCCAAACATTAAGTACTTGTAATTAGAGTATATTACATTTTAAAATGCTCATAATCAGATTACAGTTATCTTTTTACGGATTACATGATTAGGCTGCATATTCACACAATGGCAGTAAATTCTTCATAATTTATAGATTCTCCCTAATTCTTGTTTTTTTCTCTGTCATTTTTAATTTTTTTCCCCCTGAAATATTTCAAACCTGGAAGACTTTAGCCGTGTAATGTCATTGCTGTTTTCATGTATATTTATGTTTGTTCATATAATGCAGGGATTCCTAAACATTTTTGTCACCCAAACCCCTTAAAATTAAATATTTACTTGAAATATCTCTGAGAAAGTTAATATTTAAAATAATTGAACAACACATTCACATGTTTACAGTTCTCTGGTCACACTGACATGCAGGTAAACAAATAAAATATTTATATATTTGGTGTTCAAGTGTTTAAATGATTTTTATTTGACATTTTTATGATTTAATTATTAGCTTTTATCAGCTCACTATTTACTGTTCACTCACTATCATCTCACTAATGTAAAATGTTTAATGCATTTTATGATGTTGATATAAAAAAATAGAATATATTTTCTTTATCTTTGCTTTTTTTTATATCAGTATCTGAAAATGTCAAAAATTGTCTTGAGGACAAAGTTTTCCTTCATCATATAGTAGA